TTTTACTTACTTATTTTTTTCTGTTTGTTAATTTTAAAATTTATTCAAGCTGAGATCATTTCAAAACTCCTGTTTACTGGCTACCCTGCGCTGGCGGGACCTACTCATCCCAGCCCAGGCGCAGCATGGGTGAGACCCTCTTCCACCCCCTTGGGATGCCCCCCCACCACTCTGCAGCACCTCCCCCACCCTGCCCACCAAGCAGGAATTTCTGCCACGTTCTGGAACTCCCAGACCCAGTCCTAGCCCAGGCCTGGTGAGTGTGTGGGAGAGCTTCTGGCTACCCTGCGCCGGCAGGACCTACTGGTCCCAGCCCAGGCGCAGCATGGGTGACACCCTCTTTCACCCTCTTGAGACACCCCCCCATCACTCCATAGTACCCCCCCATACCCTGCACACAGAGTAGGAATTTCTGTCCTTTCTGGGAACCCCCAGATCCAGTCCTATTCCAGGCCTGGTGAGTGTGTGGGAGAACTGCCTCTCCCCCCTACTCTACCTTGTCCCCTCCAGACTCAGCTCAGGCCTGGCATATAGGCCTGGGGTGAAACCCTTCAGCTGCAATCCCTGCAGAGAGTGTAGGGGACAGAACCACCCAGCTAGTCCAGGAGCAGAACATCTTGCCAGAGGGGCACAACAGGTCCACCTCCAAGGGCAGCAGCAGGAAGGAGCTGAGCACAGCAGCCAGACCCAAACCAGGTACAGCTGGATAAATCCAAACTTTGTAGATCTACACCTGAACTTCAGTAGGTGCTAAGGCTATAACTGCAACAAAGATCCACAACAAAGGTCAGAAGACAGTGCTACACAAAATGACAATGAGAAGGAGCAAAATGCAATCTCAGAACTCAAGCCCATCCATAACAAGTGCAGAGGACACTAACACAGAACAAACTGGGACTCACACAGCTGAAAGCAATGAATCAACGGCTTCTGAAATAAAGAAACAGCTGCAGAAAGCTATAAAGGAACTCAGATTGGAAATGAAAAAAGAAATCCCTGAATTAATAACATCGGCAGTAAAGAATCAAATACAGAAACATATGGAGGAAACCCAACACCCACCCAGAACAAGTACAGAGGACACTAGCTCAGCTCAAATGGACGAATTAATAGCGTCGATAGTAAATAAGCAACAGCAGAGAGTCATAGAGGAACTCAGAGCGGAATTATTTTCTGAAATAAAAAAAGTATTCTCAGAACTCATAGCATCTGAAGTAAAGAATCAACTACAGAAACATAGGGAGGAAACCCAATCTGAAAAAAACACTGCAGTAAAAGAATTGCTAACTGCTTCTAAAGAAGACATTGATAAAAAAATAGAGGAGATTAGAAAAATGATGGATTCCTTGAATGAGCAATACAGGAAACAAATAGATCACATGAAGCAGAGTCAAAGAGATATAGAAGAAATTAAAATCTCAATCACAAGCTTGCAAAACCATTTAAATGAAAATGAAGACAGAGTTTCAGATCTTGAAGACGCTGGTGCAGCTAGTGAAAATGTAAGAAAGGATCTCTTAAAAACAACTAGGGTGCAGGAAAAAAGAATCCATCACCTGCAAGATGATGCAAAGATGAACAATGTGAGACTAATAGGCATTAATGACAAAGAAGGAGTCAATACAAATGACATTAAAAAATATGGGCAGAAGTAATAGCAGAAAACTTCCCAAATATGAGGAAACAATCTGATATTCAGGTAACTGAAGCATACAGAATGCCAAGTAACCTCAACCCCATTAAAAACACACCGAGGCATATAATAGTCAAGATCCCAGAAATTCAGCACAAGAATAATATACTGAAAGCTGCTAGAGAAAAGAAGCAGATCACATTCAAAGGAAAACCCATCAGAATTACAGCCGACTTCTCTTCACAAACCATGCAGGCAAGAAAAGCATGGAACAGAGTACTTCA